CGCTATAATGTCTGCTTTATAGCGACCAAATAGCTGTTGGTTAGTTAACTCGCAGGAACATCACAAGATTGAGGATGGCATTAAAATCAAAATATGTTTATTCAAACTATAAAAAACTAATAATAGAACTAATAAAAACTAAGCATTAAAATGCTATAATAACTAATAAAACTAGCAAATCTACTGTAAAAACTAATTAAAACTAACTGAATTAAAAGAAAAATGTCACAATGAAATAAAATTTAATTATATTGAAAAACCCAAAACTATTATAACCTTGCACATTAAGACAATAATTGTTCATGATCCGTTTGCCTGTTTTTAATTGTCATTCAGGCTCGCAGTGTGCAGCTGAAAACAGTGGTCATCAGCGAGAGGGTGCTCGGCTTTGACCATCCCAACACTATTCAGCAATATGTGAGTGCAGCTGCACGTTTACACTCCTACACCTCTATCCATTTGTCACAGTGTGATAAAGATGACGATGTTCTCTGAAGGCCCTCCTGGCAGTGTACGCGTACGCCGGAGGGGAGACGGCCCTGGCTCAGAAGTGTCTTCTCAGAGCTCGCCTGCTGATGCTAACRGTCCACGGAGAAGACCACCCGTACACTGCGACACTCGATGTGGGTTACAGAAACTAAATGAAAAGACATTCACCACATGCTTGTATGAAACCTTTAATAAAAGAAATCATTGTTGACTTTGTGGTATTTACTTGCAGAGCTGTCTTGGACTGGTGCTGCCTGAAGATCTGACAGGACAGTTCCTGAAGAACGCCCTAAAACTCAACACTTCCTTCTTCGGACCTGCAGATCTACATACCGCCCTCAGGTAAGCTCTCACCTACCTGTCATCATCGGTCATCAAAAGGGAAGGGATAATATTTTTTCCTACATGTGCGTTTGTGTGTCTCTTAGCAACATATCTCCTGACCCACTGGACAGATTTTAATTAGGCTTTCAGAAAATAAATACTACATCGAGACGGCCCAAATCACTGCTGTTTCTCTTGGTTCGTTTTTCCMCGCAGTCAGCACCTGTTGTCCCAGTGGATGTGCAGTAGGAGCGAYTACAGAGGAGCCATGACACACGAGAAAGAGGCTCTGTCTGCTTTCACCTCACTGGTTTGTAGCCGTGTTGGGACTGAGCGAGTGCGTGTTGTGGGCTGGCTGTGTGAGCATGTCATCTTATGGCTATTTTGTCTTTTAGTTTGGGGAGGATCACCCTCAGACACGCTGCAGCAAAGAGTTCCTGAGCACCATAACCAAGCAGGCGGTGAAAGTAGAGCGCACTCTCAGACAGGCAGGAGCTGAGTGCACCGAGCAAATGGTAGAGGTACGGATCGGAGCTGGTGTGCATATGGTTTCACACAAAAAAAAAAAAATAAATAGAAGTTTTACACTGCCATCTTCTCTGTTCTCAGTGTCTAAGCCCAACATCTGACACCATTCTGGAGCAGCTGGTTCTGGTGACAGGGATCAGGAGGATTACAAAAAGGTAAATATTTTTACTGCAATACTTACTGTGTATTCATAGGCTGGAAAATATGATCAAAATGACTTTAAACACACATTTAACAGAAAGTAAAACAACATTGCAAATATGCAAATTAGATAGTAAGATTTGAGAAAGTATCTGCTAATTCTGAATTTGATGCCGAAATAAAAGGAAACATCACAATTAACTAGGTTAAATGGCAACAAGTCAGTACTTGATTTAGGAGTATTTAACCCAGATCTTCTAAAAGGTAATAATAGTGCTCAAGGACTATGTATGTTTTAGGATGAGATTATAAAACTCTGTACTGACTGAAAATATTGTATCCTATAACTAATATGCACTTACTGAGAACGTTTTTGCCTTTACAATAAAAAAAACCTGTTATAAGATCCCCATCATGGCTCTAATTATTTTCCCAGCGACAGGCTCCAGGAGTACAAACAGAAACACTTGGAGCGAAAGCTTGCGGCAGCCAGAGAACTGGGAATCAAACTTCCATTCGAGCTTCCTGCCTCAGATGTGGGGTGTGGCAAGGAAGCCGCGGATGGAGGAAACAAGGCCGAGGAGAAGCACAGCGGGAGCCAACAGGAGCAGCGGGAGGAAGACGGGTCGACTCAGAGTGCTGGAAGCGTGTTAGCTAACGGTCACGTGGCAGAGCCAGAGAAAGCTGATGAGAGCAGGGACAGAAAAGGGACAGGTGCCGGTCAGATAAAGTCTGACCCGCAGGAGACAAATGGAGACGTGGACGTCTTGGCGAGCCCTTCGGCCCTTAAAAGTCCACTGACCTGGGCGGATGTGGTTTCGAAGCCAAGCACAGGCACAGGAAGCAAAGCAGCAAACGGAGTAGACAGTGTCGCTGCCAACGGTGCAGCTGAGGAGTCAAAACACTGAGCACAATGGCTTGTGAACAAGTTTTTCTAAAGTCTCTGCTGTAAGATTAAACTCTCCCAGGATTTTAAAAGTGATCCTAAGAACAGAGACAGCATTAAGAAACAGGATGAGTATTACTTTATGTTGTAATGTTTTGCTGTCACATATACTGTGAGAAGGCTGTGTTGTTTTGCCTTTTTTTCCCCCCTTTTCCAACAATAAACTTTTTACTTTGCTGTATTAAACATTTGTTCTCTTCTTTTTAAAGGGGCAATATTATGTGTTTCTCAGGCATACATTTAAATACTATACCATAATAAAGTACAGCGGGTAAAATAAGTATTGAACACGTCAACATTTTTCTCAGTAAATATATTACTAGAGGTGCTAATGATGCTATGATGCAGTTTCCTTGGCATCTGAAAATACATTTTCTCAAAGGTATTTTTAATCTGAAAAAAGACCTTCATTGAGTGATAACTAATGTTAGGAGCTCAGCAGACAGTTTCAGTTTCAGTTTCACCCGTTGTTTGAGAGCCTGCAGGAGTCATGGGTGGGGTATGTGGGGGGTGGGGGGGCTCTGCCATGAGGAAGTTCGACTTAAAGACACATCCCAGGGGCTTTTCTGGTCCCCACCCTGTCGTTTTGCTCCTCAGCATGGCTGTCTAAAAATGCTGCAGGATTTCTCAAACATGCATGAATGAGTCAAAGCAAGGCTTTGGGCATGTTTTCTATGAGTATAACATTATAACATGATATAAAACTGAAAAAAGTTGACTTTACATGATCCTGCCCCTTTAACAACTGTATTATTGTTGCTAGACTTTTACTTAAAACACAGCAAACATGAATGTAAACATGACATGTAAAATATAAATCTAGTTAAGCATGCACAATCAACTTTTTGAGCTTTAAATTGTGTTGTAATGTCATTCCCTCATCAAAAACATACCCAGAATGTTGTTTTGACTCATTCATGCTTGTCTGAGAAATCCTTGAATCTCCTGTGGAAGCCAAGTGGAGCTGCCTAAACACTTGCTGCTACAAAGCACCGCCTATTTACACAAAGCTCCTCCCTGGAGCTCAGTCACTTACCATGGTAGTGGCTCAGAAAGACAAAGTTCTGATTCATGGGGTAGTTCATTTATTTAAAAATATTTTTAAAAATATAGTTTTAAAAAGTCCACAGTTATCTATCATCAGTTTCAGGATTTTCTGAGTAAGATGTTTGCTTCAGGATAATTTCCAAATCTGAGCAGTGTAAGTACTGAGGCTCGAGCTGCTCGGCCCAAAAGGACTGTGGGAGTCTGTTCAAGGTGTCAGAGGGAAAAGTGATGACCGCTGTGTCGCTGAAGACATCTATCAGATGGGAAGGACACGGCAGCAGTCTCTCCTCGCACAAGCCTACAGCCTTACTGATGTAGTTGTAGTCCCGCTTCAGCTCCCTCTCAATGGTCCTGCAACAGACAACATTGCATTGTCCCTCATTTACGCGCTAAAACATCATTTCCATCATGCATGCCTTCTACAAACCTCTCCCTCATGCCGCTGAAGCTGTTCCCGATGATTACCATCAGAGACAAACACTGTGTGCTCCAGTTCTTCCACAGAAGGTTGTTGTACAGGGCTTTCCCACAGTGCATTAGATAAAACAGGGTGGGCTTCGTGGCTTGACGCTTCCCCTCCTGTAGAAAACAGAAAAACAGGATAGAGGAAGTGCTCTAAAAATAATGGTATAATTACAATCTGTAGTTTAATTTGTGAAATGCTGGCAACTACTTGTATTTTTTACACCTAACAGCATTATCCATTTTGTCTGACAGAATAAAACAGACAAGTTATGATCAGCTGACCTCATTTTCTGTGAGTACAGTCAAGCCCAGCTCTTTCAAAATGTCCCTCTCAGCAGAGGAGAATGCAGGATCATAAACAGAGCAGTCCTGCACTGGGATCTACAGGGAAAAGAAGCAATAACTTTTGTTAAACAGTCTCATAAAACTTAGTTGTAACAACAAATGAGTCTATCCTCTGACCTGTACAGCATCCAGAAGCAGCAGCAACATGGCAAGCTGGTACCGAGCTGAGACASAAGAAGAGAAAGATCCAAGGCCATAACACACGCACTCCAGCTGCTGACAGTGTGTGTCTTCTGGGTTTTTCTCCAGACGCTCCCTGGTGTCATTGTTCTCTGGAGGTCCTGATGCTGCCAGGAGCAGCTGCTCTGAAGATGACATTATCAGTTAGATCTGCAAGCTACATCATGTATGAATCAAATGAAAAATCCGTAAGCAGTTTAGTTTTAGTCGTGCAACATACTCACTTTTCCACTGTAACCAAAAATCCTCGCATCTTAATTCAGACCTAAGAAAACAAAATATTAGCTGGGTCAAACGCTTTATGGACAAACATGGATGAAAACAGAATTTGTATCAAGGATGTAATTAAATAAGTTTTACACTGTGTCTCTGATTCTTTTGATAAGTTTCCCGACATCCAGATGCTCCTCCTGCTGGAAGAATGGTGCTGAAGGAACTTGAGACGTTTTAAACTTCCTCGGTGCACMTTTTCGTCGTCGCGCTACCTGCCATTCCTCTGTGATGTCCGACATTTATGAAAATTATCAAGATGTTAAAAAGAAAAGTCATAAAATTCCTTATCTTATATCAGAAGTTTGCATTTTAGGAGATGTAAGCTACTGACACGCGAAAACATATGGGACAGGTTTAAATGCAACACACAGTACTTCTTCCGGTGTTTTAACTCGTGTTTTCGATTAAAATGTTTTCTGTGTTTATAAATTCTTAGATATGGTCAAAATATTGTTTTGTAAATAAATTTACAGATAAATTAATAATTGAACGATCTTATGAATGCATAATTGGCGTTATAAGTTTCCCTTGAAGTTCCAACGCTGGGGACATATTTTGATGTAACGCCACTCAACCGGAAGTAGTTTGTTGAACGTTTCACCAAAAGAAATTTCACGTTAGAGTTTCGTCTAATTGCCAATTGATCTCTAACGAAGATAAGAACACTTATTTTGGTAAGTCAACTAAATATATATATGTATACATATTCCTGGTTTCCAGCACGTAAACGATGTAATGTATCTTTTATATTTTATGTCACGATGTTCRCTTTTGCTAACTGTGTTAGCCTCAGCTACGTACGTTTTATTCGGTGTTTTATTTTCCAACCCTTCCCTAACTAAAGATCCTTTTAATACTACTTAACTTGTTGTTTTGTCTTTTATTTCAAATTAGTTTAATAATATTTAAAAAACTAACTATTGTTGACTTCCCAGATCAGGCTATAATGATATACGATGCTAGATATTTAAAAAAAATCTTTGATGCAGAACTTTAAGTCTAAATGTATGCATCTCATAAATGAAATTATTTAAGTCATGACACTGTCATAATGATATGCTTTATTTTTATTTTACAGTGATGTCAATGTCCCACCTTTATGGGCGGAGGGAGGAGGAAGAAGAAGGTGTGGAGGTGGAGAGCTTTGAGGTGACAGACTGGGATCTGGCCAACGAGTTCAACCCAGAGCGTCACAGATTTAGGCAGACCAAGGAGCAGGCAACTTATGGCATCTGGGCCGAGAGGGATTCGGATGAAGATGAGAGGCCCAGCTTTGGTGGCAAGAAGTAAAGCATGATTTGTTTTTGTCTAAAAATCCATTTCTAACCTTAACCAACAAAAGATCATGCTAAATGTTTGCAATTTTCTTTTGCTAGATCGAAAGACTTCACTGTTCCAGTCAGCTTTGTGAGTGCTGGTTTGCGTAAAACTGCAGCTGAGGAGAAACAGCAGGAAAAAGAAATTGGCTCCGATGACTCTGATAATGATGATTCTGCTGCACCTCCTCCTCCTCCTTCACGCGTGACTGCACCCAAGAAACTCCAAATGGTAATTTTGTTTGCACGCACACGAAAAATAATCAAAACAATAGTATGACACATCAGTAACATGATGTTTTGATAGGGTAATTTCCGTGGGCATCAGTCCCAGAGGTTTGCTGGAGGGATACAGTCTGGTCAAGGTATCGGCAACTGGGAGAAACACACAAAGGGGATTGGACAGAAACTTCTGCAGAAAATGGGCTACCAACCTGGAAAAGGCCTGGGCAAGAATGCTCAAGGTGGGAACAAAAGATATAGATAGCTTATTTGTTTATTTATTTTAGAAATTTTGTTTAATAGTTTGCATTTTAAGAGGAATCTAATGGAGTTGAAACACTTTGCTATGATTCACTGCTACAGGTATCATAAACCCAATTGAGGCAAAGGTTCGTAAAGGTAAAGGAGCAGTCGGTGCTTATGGCAATGAGCGAACACAACAGAGTCTTCAGGACTTTCCTGTGGTTGATTCAGATGAAGAAGAAGAAAAGGTAAAGTGCAGATAAAATTATCTTTGGCTCTTTTTTATATTTTTGGTCGATTTTACAGATCAAATGACTATTTGAAGATACGTATAAAGACATCATTTTTAAAAACTGTCTTGGTGCAGGAATTTCAGAAGGAGCTCGGCCAGTGGCGTAAAGATCCAACTGGTTCTGGAGTAAAGAAGAAACCTAAGTATTCCTACAAAACTGTGGACGAGCTGAAGGCTAAAGGTAAAATGGCTAATCGAAGCACAGCGGTATCTGCAGGAGAGCTGGCACAGGTCAAGGTATGCTTAAAATTTATTCGGAAGGTATAATGTTGAAACGTTAGTGTTTTTATTGAGCTTCAGCAATTTACGTAAGTTTTAGTTAGCATACACATAATTCTTGTTGCAGAAAATAGCAACTTTTTTGGGCATCACAGAGTTAACCRAATTTCAACCCACTCTGATTTGTATATTCATTAATGCATCTGTCTGTTTATAACCTTAAATCTAGTTGAAAAAAACACTGGTTGGACTCATGCATTAATATTTGATCCTGGATAGCAGCAGCAGAAACTATGTGACAGTGTACAAATGCTGCTGATTCATTTGGGATATTTTACTACAACAGGATATTCATACATGTGTTTATTTGCTGAACAGAGCAAATAAACTAAAATTAGGGCCCAAATTATGAGTATAATGAGCTTTTGGCAACCATTATACCACTGCTATCAATTCAGAATTATACATGTACTATAT